CGATTGGTAGAAAGAGGAGGACATGCCGCTGATCAGCAAGGAGGTCCTCAACCAAAGGTTCCCAGAGTGTTGTGGGCGCAGAGAAAGCAAATCCTTTTCCTTCGCTTTGTAATGCCCGTGGAGATAGATTGCGAGAGAGTCATAGTTCGTAGCATGTCGATCACATTTTCGGCGAGCGAGAAGCAGGACGACCGGAAAAGGAGGCATCCACCGCCATCTTCCTCAAATGCTGAAGCTATGATGGCCAGCGATCGCAAACGCAACTCGGAGCACGTCGACAGTTTAGACATGAAGGACACAAGGTCCATCGAACAGGCAGAAGAGGGCGAGAATGAGAAGGAGAAGACGGCAGAGGCGGAGGAAAAGAAGAAAAAGGATATCGAGGAAAAGAGGGGGGACAAGGAAAAGGAGAGGGTGGACGAGGGGATTGAAAACGGGGTGGACACAAAGCAGGAGGGCGGCAAGGGAGGAAGAGGATCGAGAGGGACGATGGTGAGAGAGGAGGACGAGGAGAAGGAGAAAACGTTGGAAAGCGAGAAGAAGGTGGAGGACAGAACTGATGTGGAGAACGAAAACGAGGAGGGCGAAAAACCAACTGTGTCCAAAACGACGAGGGCGAGAGAAGGGGAACCAGCAGGGATTGACACGTGGCAGTGCCCTATGAACCCCTCATTTGCAGTAACTGTCAATACATACAAACGGTTGGTCCCCTCAACTGCATCATGGGATGTGAGAAAGAGAGAGGTGTGGCTGACGATACCCAAAATGTGGTCGAGCGGGCATTGGCCTCGACTACTTCGAGATCCCGACGATCCGCTCAAATCTATTGTTGGCGTTGATTGGACGAGATGGAAGGCAGATGAGACAGAGGAGGACGAGTATTCAATGTCAACAAAGGCCGACAATGATTTGACGGAAGAAGAGCTAGAGGCAGAAGAGAGAGCCGTAACTGCTCCGGCCAGTTTTCCAGAGGAAGAGTATGACGACTCCCACCTCCCTCTCCTAAACTCCACCACATTTCCTCAATTCCTCGAAGATCACGACATCGTTTCCGTGTTATTCTTCGAAAGGGAGTCGCAGAAAAGCAAAACCCTTCATAGATTGTTTGCCACGGTTGCGCCGACTGTGAAGGACAGAGTGCCTCTCGCGTCAGTAGATGCAGGACAGAACCTGAAGCTCACGAAAAAATTGCAGATTGCGGATTTTCCACGCACCAAGCTCTTCTTAAGGAGTGGGGAAATGTTCAACTACGACGCTATGGCTATTGGGTATTCAGGATTGTTCATAAAGTTCCTAGTACGACAGCTAGAGGCAGCCTGGATGACATTGACGAGCGATCAGGAAGTGCTCGATTTCCTGCGACAATACCCGAAGGCCATTCTCGGCTATTTTCCGCAAGGCAAGAATCCTTTGTCTGGTGTCCTACTTTTCCTCCTTTTGCTTGCCCTTTTCTCCTTTTTCCTCCTTTGCCTACACTATTCTTTTCACTGTCGACCTCTTTCCTCCTTTTCCTAAGCTATTTTCCGTTTTCTGTAAGGCGTGTTTTTCTTTTCCTCCTCCCTTCTTTTCCTCCTTTTCATCAGCTACTTTCTTACTTTCCACTCATTTTGCCCTTTTCCTCCTCACCATTTAGGACTTCTCCTTGTCATCTTTCTCCTTTCATCCTTCTCCGCCTCCTTATCTCCTTCCCACATCACGTCGTGTCTATGGCAAAGGCTCGTCGATCTCCTCCGTCTACTGCTCTGGGGCATTGCCTTACCCCTCCTCTCTGATCCCGCCGCCGTCGTCCTCCTTTCCGTGAACTTTTTTTTTCGTGCTCCCTATTCTCTCTCTTCTCCTTCGTGTACCACTGGATCCCGGTTCTCGTTCTTATCCCGCCTCGTCCTCCCACCTCCTCTTCCTAGCGCATCACTTAATGCCACAGCAAATCTTGGACCTCCTACCACTACTACTTTCCCCCGTTCCCCTGCCCCTCGTCCTACTGCTTCTCCTCCTTTCCGTCTTCCTTCGGATCCTCGTGTCCTACTAGTCCTCTTTCACCTCCTTTTCCTCATCCTCCTGACCCTCCTTTTCCTCTTCCCCGCTTTTCCTTCCTTCTTGCTTCGCTCATCATGCAGGACCCCGACAGATGCCGATGAGATGATGATGATGATGATGATGATGATGCCCCAACTACGAATGTGAGCCTGCGGTAGAAGCCGTGAGGCCGTATGTGACACCCGCGGCCTAGGCCGCGGGCATGTCAGCCGCCGCGTCCGAGATTCTCGGCCGCGAGCGCGGCCGATGAGGCCCAGTCCGTGGCCTGGTTTTTCAATATTTCCCCCCCACCCCCTAAAAATACGTAATATATATATAGTGTATTTTTTGGCTGTGACAGACCTTTCTTTGTTTCGTGGATGTTTTGCTGGCTTGTAATGGGGTGTGAACCGACAGTCTGTAGAGTTTTCCATCTGGTGTGGGTGAGTGATAGTCTACTTTGATTTTGGTTAAGGTAGATTAT